GCTACATGATGTATGCTTTTAATTACACGACTAATACGGCTTATTGCCTATGACATAGTTTTGTGCTATTGCATACGTCTTTAGTATAATTCAGTGATATGATATTCAGTGACATCAAGATCCGTGACTAGATAATTAGAAAGCAGCTTAGGGGATAATTGGATAGATGATAGCTAACCACAACTGGGCAGCTTGGGCCATGGACCCACTACATGCCATGTAAAGAACACGGGCCGCAAACTTTGGTGCCGGAGACCGTGTCCAGTGGTTTAAGTTTGGATTTGATCGACTGGTTGGATTTGATGGATAAGATCGGATTCGGAGTTTGGAGTTCAGGACTGACTCGGAGTCGAGAGGTGTAAGTCTGCGGTTCCGCAGCACTGAGAACGTGGAGAAAGTTAGCAACGCTGTCCTCACAGCCAACCAGCTGCGGATTAGTCGAGTTCAGCTCGTATAAACGCATGCCCGACGTGCCCAATCACATACCACCCTGCAGCTCGCACCTTACTCCAAGAAACTAGCCCCACATTATCACATCTCTTTACGATTTGGCGATGAAAAATCGAACAGGCTCCATGAGCTCGCTGCGGGTAGGCTAGGGCGCGACGACGCCGCGCGTCGCAGAGGACCGCTGTCTTTGGCGCCTTGCGTCGGTCCCTCCGGGCACCATTCCTCGCCTCCCCGGCGGGAACGGCGTACCTTACCGCTCTCGAGGCACGGTGGCCCTGCAATCTCATCGGGCAGGCGCCTCGGTGAGGTGAAACGACCCGACCCGAGGACAGACGGTCACGACCGAAGGCTCACATTTTGGCCTTCCGAGGCGTCGCTACGCTCTCCGCAGAGTATGAATCTGAATCTTCAGGACCAGGGCTACGGTGACGTGCGTACCCAAGCGGCACAGAGCATCTTCGCCATCACGACTCGCGTACGCGTCAGGGAACACACATCGGTCACATCATAATAACACATGTGTATTCAACTCTTAGCAACGTTTCATAACAATGTTGATGATTAAAAAACGCTCACATCACGCACAATGTTCACTGGGCACCCGTCACGAAGCCCACCAACCGTTGAGGCGGCCTGCGTATTACTATGCTACGCCGCGCTGTCAGCAGCCGACCGCACCGCTCGCGCCGCGCGCCTGCCGCAACACCATCTGGTGGATGACGCGCGTGACGCCACCTGTCTCTACTCAGGAGGTAGGCAGTAGGACCAACTGTTTTTGTACCTGGACATGTCCGGAGGGCCCTCAGCAGGCTCCGCGCGACGCCTCAAATTGAGAGTGGTCAGACCGGCGCGCGAGCCTGGCCTGCGCCAACAGGCAGCTGCCAGCTGGTGCCGCCGACCGGCAGCAGCCAGGTGGCGCCGCCGACAGGCAGCGGCCACCTGGTGCCGCTGACCGGCAGCGGCCAGCTGGTGCCGCCGAAAATCAGCAGTCAGCTGGTGCCGCCGACCGGCAGCGGCCAGCTGGTGCCGCCGACAGGCAGCAGCCAGCTAGCGCCGCCGACAGGCAGCGGCCACCTGGTGCCGCCGACCGGCAGTGACCAGCTGGTGCCGCCGAAAACCAGCAGTCAGTTGGCGTCGCCGACAGGCAGCAGCCAGCTGGCGTCACCGACAGGCAACATCCCGCTGGTGCCGCCGACGCACAGCGGCCAACTGGTGCCGGCTTACGCAGGCGCAACTGTTTTGTCGGCTTAAATTTAAGCATGGATTGATTAAGAGTGGGACCAGCATTACCATGCGCGATTGCGCAGCAGTCATTCAAATGCAAAGGAAATGCGAGCAGGGCTACACGAGGTAATGGTACGACCACAATTAACGTGTTTAATTAAGACAGCACCATCAAACTGTTCGCACATTATTGACATGTAGCGGCCTAAATTGATTTCTGCGAGCTGCATGGCCTCCATGCCATTTTGGCTTTTATAAATACAGGACTCTTTGGATGTATGGAGATATAGCGCTAAAGCTTTCACAGATTCCGTGGAACAATAGAACAGCATGCACTCGCGAAACATATTCATCGGAACCATGTTCGGCGATAACACAATCATAAGCCAGCATCCACGAAATGCCCATGCGAGGCGGGCCATACAAGGACGTTCGGCGACGTCAAAACAGCATACAAACCACAACAAACACCTTCCGCCACGCCTGGATCCATCTGCCGACCGGCAGGAGCAAAGTCCGGTCTCCACCCGTATGGATATCAGCGTGATGACAGCTCAGAGCAGAACTGTGGCCCACCACGGCAGGAACAACGCTCGCTGGGCGCCGGCCTCCACAAAACGGAGACACCTACCCACTCGTCAGACACTGGCGCCGCAAGAGAGAGAGAGAGAGCATAGCCAAAAAGAAACGAGTGCATAGGACATTCTAATACGGGCGAATACTTTTCATGTACCAAACTAATCTGGGCACAACAGATCATATTAGGTCACTGTTAAAGCAAAGCGGCAGATACCCCAAAATCAAGTGCACCTGTCACCAAGTTCCTCCAAGAAGTTCCTCTCACCCCGAGCTCCACAGTTCCACAACAAAGGCCAACGAAGGAGACATCCCGGAAGTGTCTCCACAACGCCTTTTCTGTCAGCAACGCAGGTACCTCAACCCCTCTAAAAATCGCAAATTCCGCATTTCCGTCCCTCCCTCCAGAGGAAGCACACTAGGACGCGCGTCAGCACAGTAAGTACACGGCAGACGCTCAGCCGGCGCCACATCAGACCGATGGCATGCTTCCACAACAGGCCTCACCAGATAAAGCGGCGCAGGTACAGACCAGGGCCCATGAGCGCAACAGGTCACGTGACCCGCCCGCCGCGGCCCATCGCGTGCGCCACTACTGCGCAGGACACCGTATGACTGTGAATGGCTGAAAACTGATAGGAACAAACTAAAATGTTTGAGGTAATAACATTTGTACTGCACAAATTAATGTCTTCCGATCTAGGAAGTACCTACTGGTAGTTCGTGGCCGGCGGCCGCTCCGGCCCACACCCTTCACGGTAGCGCTCCGGCCTCGGCTGATTGGCCGGGGTCAGCTCCTAGGTGGAGCTGACGATGGTGATTGGCCGTCAGCCGCATGTCGTCCGTTGGAGGCTGCCGGCGATTGGCCGAAGCGAGACCGTGGGTAATGTGTCAGACGATGATTGGTGTCTGCGAGCTGGGTGTCGAGTTGGCCGACTGGCCGGCCACCTCCAGGGTGGGGTTCTGTGGAACTGCCTGGAACTGGTGCCGCTTCGAAGGCCCTGCAACACACACGCGATGACGTCACACCGAGGCACGGGTTGGTCGTGAGCGCACCAGAAGTTGCACGAAACGCATACCAACAATGCACTCACTGCCAGCCGTAGATAGCCGCAATCTCCACACTGCATCAAAATCGTCCGCGGCGCACTTCACCAATATCTTTGGCAGGTAAAAGAAAACTGCAGCCCCATTTCAAAAAGGCAGCATCAGAAGAAACAACGCAACACACCAAACCAGTCCATTCAAAGTTCAAATTCAATTCAACCCAATGCCACCCACTTGTCTCCATAATCCATCGAACGCCGCAGGGGCACACACAGCGACACCTACCGATTTTCGAGTGTATGAGCCAGACGCCGCCCATGAGCGTGACGCCGAGGAGGAAGGCGGCCACGCCGATGCCGGCCACGGTCTCAGGCTCGACCCCGAGACGGACCACGGGCGCCTGATCCAGCGGCCGGGCCGGCGACGGGGCCGGGCTCAGGCGGCGCTGCAACGGTCTGCCGGGCCGCCTGTCGGGTCATAAACGGGGCAGGTCAGGAGGCTCGATGGAGACGCGAGCCGATCAGCTGAGTCGGGAGAGCGAGAGAGCAGAGAGAGCGAGAGAGCGAGAGAGCGAGAGCGCGAGAGCGCGAGAGCGCGAGAGCGCGAGAGCGCGAGAGCGCGAGAGCGCGAGAGCGCGAGAGCGCGAGAGCGCGAGAGCGAGAGAGCGAGAGAGCGAGAGAGCGAGAGAGCGAGAGAGCGAGAGAGAGAGAGAGCGAGAGAGAGAGAGAGAGAGAGAGAGAGAGAGAGAGAGAGAGAGAGAGAGAGAGAGAGAGAGAGAGAGAGAGAGAGAGAGAGAGAGAGAGAGAGAGAGAGAGAGAGAGGAGAGAGAGAGAGAGAGAGAGAGAGAGAGAGAGAGAGAGAGAGAGAGAGAGAGAGAGAGAGAGAGAGAGAGAGAGAGAGAGAGAGAGAGAGAGAGAGAGAGAGAGAGAGAGAGAGAGAGAGAGAAGAGAGAGAGAGAGAGAGAGAGAGAGAGAGAGAGAGAGAGAGAGAGAGAGAGAGAGAGAGAGAGAGAGAGAGAGAGAGAGAGAGAGAGAGAGAGAAGAGAGAGAGAGAGAGAGAGAGAGAGAGAGAGAGAGAGAGAGAGGAGAGAGAGAGAGAGAGAGACAAAGAGCAGACCACAAACGCATGCGCATGGGTCAGGCCAGCCCCTCGACCCAAGTTGCGTACATTCGATCATTTGGGATGGCGCGCCGCGGGCAGCGCCGGCGCCGACGCCGAGCGGGGCTGACCGGTCGAAGGTGAATAGCAAAGAGGCCCCCCCCCCGCATCACCAACTGAACCCCGGGCACCGAGTGGGACTTACCGGCGACGGTGGGTAACAACCCCCCCCCCACCCCGTCACCACCTGCACCCCAGATGCCGAGCGGGACTGACCGGCGACGGTGGGTAGCAGAGGGCCCCGCGTCACCACCTGCACCCCGGACGCCACGGGCCGGCCGCCGCTGCCGCCGAACTCCGCGCAGTGCTTGCGCCGGTCCACACACTGGCGAGGCGACACCGCGTCAGACCACACACCGGCGAGGCGACAACACCGTGTCAGACCACACACCGGCGAGGCTGACACCGTGTCAGACCACACCCCGGCGAGGCAAAACACCGTGTCAGACCACGTGCAAGCCACGCTGGCGAGACGACACCGTGTCAGATCACACAATGGCGAGACGACACCGTATCAAATCACATACTGGCGAGGCGACACCGAGTCAGACCACACGCAGGCCGCGCTGGCGAGACGACACCGTGTCATGTCACACACGGGCAACGCCTCGCCGCGAGTTGGGTTACAATGGGTGCTCGTACCCATCACACCCACCACCCATTCCTTGCCTGTCGCAGTGCGAGTACTCCGGCACTGCAGGAAACAGGCACGAATACGGAAGCAGGTACACGCACATGAAGAGGAATGCTTGGGCATTGGTGTGTCCATTGGTACGGACATGGGTATGGGCAACGGATGCGGTGCCGGTACGGGTACAGATGCGGAACAAGATGGGTGCAGGTGCAGGTACGAGCATCAGCATGAGTACGAGTATGAGTAGGAGCACGAGCACGAGCACGGGTGCAGTGCGGTACGGCACGGGCGCCGTTACGGGTACGGCGCAGTCCGGCATGAAACAGCCAGTCACAGCAACAGCTTCCATTTGGCGGAAACCTGGCAATCGCGGGGATGGATGGCAACGCGACAACTACACCATCTCACGCAGTACCATGAACAAATACCAATGATACTGCGCCTAGAGCGGCCCGGGGAAAAAACGCCAAGCCGGGCAACTTTCCCGCCTAAGAGCTGACTTCCAGACCGCCTACAATAACGCCATCTACCGGACACCAAATAAACCTCTGCTTCCATCGCAGCCGGGAGTGGCGCGACTGTTTCGGCAGCCCAGTCGCCGCATGGGTATGGGCAATTGTTGGCCCGAGGGCGCCCTCACCTTGGCGATGTGTGGACTGGCCGGGTAGTTAGGCCGCACACACACGCCGAGCCGGCAGTGCAGGTAGTACGGCCCCAGCTCCAGGTATTGGCGCGACACCTGGCGGCCCGGCGGCGGTCAGCTGCGTTCAGGCCCTTCCGGCGGACGCGCCAGTCTTCATGCTGGCACGCACACCGGCCACACGCCAAATGTAGGCCATGGCGGAAGCTACAGCATGCCTCCAGCTGGCATAGCAGCGGTGCGCGATACAACACACGAATGTGCCTATGTTCGTCGGGCCACGGACGCGGCCCGGCCCGGCGTAACCAATTCCACGCTCACGTTGAGTGAAAACCCCGCTGCATTTATATATATATATATATATATATATATATATATATATATAAATATAAATGCAGCGGGGTTTTATGCCGCAATCAAGCTGCAAGCGTTTATTTCCTTCATCAAACGAGCACAAATGCCCCTGGCGGCCGCGATAGCACAGCGTAAAACCACGGCAGCCACTTGCAACGCCGCACTAAACACATTTATTACGCTCAAAGTACCACAAGGTGCTCACAAGCTCCCACCCAAGGTGTCATGTTTTTAACAGCTGCTTGTCTTGGCCTTGAAACCAACCATACTTGCTAGATATTGAAACAAATCAGACGAGGACGCGTTGTAAAATTCCCCCGAATGAGTCGCTTACGATACCGAACAGGTATGAGATACACCAAGGCGGCCGAAACTGGTCCAGAGGAGTAAGTATGTTGGGTCCTTGTTTGAATTTTATGATGCATCTCATATATAACGCATCGCATTTATTACGGCACAAAACCGTACCGTTGCTGAGAATATCAGCGCTTTTCAATGGCAGTAACCTGCCATGTTGAGCCGGAAACAACCTAATATTTTCAGTCGTAATTGACAGTTTACTGGGAGCATCAACCACCCGATGACTAATCGTGAACAAAACACAGAAGGTACAAATTTTGCGTTTTCAGCACCACTATCAGTTGAGCATTCTACTTCGTGTAAGGAAACGACAATTACATAGTTCTTGTATAATGCAGAACAGTATTTAATATGTGGTCAGGTCGGCGTAAGATGAGTTACCAGTCATGAAGTCCCACGCCTATCAACAAGCGATCAGATCGTGAAGATCACTCAGTTCCACAGAGCACTCCTCACTAAGCACGCCACGTTCCAGACACTTTCAAAGCTCCGGAGCGGCCCACCAAATCCACCGGTGGCGCTGCGTGTGCGCCGCTGGATTATGGCAGAGCAGGCGGCACCGAGTGCTGAGCTGATTGCCACGGCCGACAATCTTTACTCAAACAAGCGAATATGGTCCATTACGCGACGCTCTTAACCGCACATTGGTTTCTTCGCGCTCACCACATTCGCAGAAGGACCTTTCACCAGTGACCCGTTTCAAGAACACGGAAGCACTGAAATGTAAGCACACTTCGTGTAACTAGCATTAAAAGCTTACATAAGTAACTAGTTCTTCAGAAACATTTTCAAAGAAATTGACCCTTCTCCAAATGGGTTACGCAACTGCTAGCATAATCGCACTGGCTCGAGCACAGATCCGGACTTCTCGCAACTTCCAAGCTTCAGAGACTAAGCCAGATGCCGCGCTGCCATACCAGGCCGAATCCGGCCTGGTCTCCTCGCCTCTCGGCACGGTACGCTGCCATACCAGGCCGGATTCGGTCCCCTCGCCTCTCGCCACGGCACGCTGCCATACCAGGCCGAATTCGGTCTCCTCGCCTCTCGTCACGGTACGCTACCATACCAGGCCGGATTCGGTCCCCTCGCCTCTCGCCACGGCACGCTGCCATACCAGGCCGAATTCGGTCTCCTCGCCTCTCGCCACGGCACGCTGCCATACCAGGCCGAATTCGGTCTCCTCGCCTCTCGCCACGGTACGCTGCCATACCAGGCCGGATTCGGTCTCCTCGCCTCTCGCCACGGCACGGTCTCGACTGGCCCTCTCTCTCCGCATCCCGCCACACCCTGGTGGTGCCTCACGCCCCGCCCAGATCTCTTCCCTCATTTGCGTCTAAAGAGGCGTTGAGGGGCAGTGTCGCTGCTCGTCGGGGCCGTACGGTGCGCCGGCAGCCGAGCTCACCTCGAGCATTCAAAGACATCGCGTTCGAGACCACATCACAAACCCCGGCGTGTATGACGTCGGCAGCCCCGCACGCGCCTCACCTGGAAGCTGAAGACGTCGCTGTCGGGCGGCGTGGCGTCCATGAACGAAACACTCCGGTCCACAGGACACGCCGTGCGGATGATCAGGAACTTGTACGGTGTGTCTGGGTCGCTGTCCTTGCTGACCCAACACTCCTCCACAACGGGCTGCAGGTACGGGGCTGGAGCGAACGGCGAGGTTAGTACGGCGACGGCCGCGCGCCAGGGATGGGTGCGGACTGACGGGGGCTGGATCGGACGGCAACGGTTAGTACAGCAACGGTCGCGCGCCGGGGATGGCCGCACACTGGCGCGCGACAAGCAGCGAGAGGGTGGGGGCGGCACAATCTTAACTCATGGGTACAAGCGTGTGGTGAAAAATGGGAGTGGTGGCGGCATACTACGACATTGCCAGCGAGTTACCGACAATCCATGACAGAGCCCAGCCGATGTACAGAATGATCCGAGCAAACGGTTATGTTTAGAATCACACAAAACAGACAAGTGTCTGCCCAATGCATCAATCAGACGGAGCCTGTGTACGGAGAGCCTACGTCACTGCCATACACATGGCAGAACAGGATGTCCCCTGCTGCACCCCATCGCAGTTTTCAAGTCGTCCGACATTCATGCCTCACGAGAACGCAAACCGAACGCATCACAAGCCACACGAAAACTCCGGCGTGGGTCCTTACCTATACGAATAGTAGCGCGTGCATATATGCTATGCATAACAGGAACCAGCGCATTTGGCTCAATAGGAGCGGCAAAGACCTCGTCGGAGAATAGCTCCAGCGAGTACACGGACGAGTCCACATCGTCCGGGCTGAGCACCTCCTCCTGGAAACAGAGAGGCGTGCACTGCCAACGCCGCTGATGACGAGTTCACTTCTCACTAACGGTGGCGGAGTCGACGCCTCAAAACGGATGCAGAATTCTTCGGAGCTAGCTTCTTTGATCAAGGAAAAACAAAAATACGTTGATAAGTTCAAACTACATCACTTCAGCCACAAGACAGGCACATCCACGGCATTTGTTGCGCCAACAACACCTCACCTCGGGCCTTAACTTGGTTGAAACGAGGCATATTTCACGGCAGTAACGTTTCCAGAATCCTTAAGAACCTTCAAATGCTCTCAGAATATAATCCCCAGAATCCTCATAAGCCTCAAGGACAATACATGCATAAAAACATCCAACCATCCTGGAAGGCCGATCACTTCACCACATGCCATCTGTTCCGTCGGAATTCAAACTATACATTCCATCTGCAATATGAACTGATACCTTCTTTAAAATGCCACCCTCAGCACTATATATTCATACGCTCATAGACTCAAAGACGCAAGGATGCTGTTGGTTGTGCATGTGGGCACTGTGGTGAGGTGTGACTGTTGGAAAGTGTGAGGTACTGGATAGCAACAGCTCTAGACCGACGAGACCTACCTTCGCCTGACGCGCTTGAAGATCTGACACGAAGTCGCCACTAGTCTACCTATCACGCAAGCAGCTAGATTTCTGCCACACTGATGTTTTAGGGACCATCTGATGACCACCTGACCACCTAACCTGATGCCCGAGAGGCCTGACCTGATGTCGCCGGTTCTGGTTGAGGGTGACCTCCGGGGACGTCCAGCCGGGGTGGGTGCAGCTGACCGGCACCAGACCGCCGTCGTCGTCCGGCTCCGGCGCCGTCTCCTCCCACGGATCAGCCAGGCCTAGGCCGGAGCCGGAGCCCTCGAAGTCCTCGTCGTCCGGCGGCGCGCCCGACGGCACGAAGTGCACCTGCGGCAGCGCGCCGGCCGCGTCAGACGCGGCGGCCGACAGCCGCATGGACGCACCTGTTCACCAGGTGCCAGGGCACGCCCAACGAGCCCAGACTGTCTCAGACAGGCCCGCGCAGCGCATGGGCTGGCGGTGCACGTGATCCGTCTCGAAGGGCGCCCGCTAGCCTCCTTAGCGCGCGGCGCCCAGCCGCCAGGGATCCTCCCCTCGCCGCAGCGACGGAAAGGCCGGCGCCGGGGGACGAGATCAGCTCGGGGAAGTCAGCACGCGCCGGCATCACAGCGGACAGGAGTGCCAACTCCGCGGCGCCACACGGCCTACCCACGAACACTGACCACCATCAGGCAGGGCGTGACGCCGGCCGGCGACGCATACTGCCACAGGGCACCGCAGCACCGACACCATCTCCGGAGGTGGCAGTGTCCACAGAGGAAAACTGAACTAGTGTAGATCACACCACCGACGAGACGAAACAGCGGCACGAATCCACATCTAAAGTTCGTTCTACGGCGCCGCTATTCGGGCTTAAAGAGGGCGCAAATTTCCTTTCACGGTCGAAATATTACTCCTAGAGACAGACAACCCGGAACACAGAGACAGAGATAGTCCAGAACATATAGACAGAGACAGCCCAGAACACAGAGACAGAGACAGCCCAGAACACAGAGACAGAGATAGTCCAGAACATAGAGACAGAGACAGCCCAGAACACAGAGACAGAGATAGTCCAGAACATAGAGACAGAGACAGCCCAGAACACAGAAACAGAGATAGTCCAGAACATAGAGACAGACAGCACAGAGCACAGAGACAGAGATGGTCCAGAACATAGAGACAGAGACAGCCCAGAACACAGAAACAGAGATAGTCCCGAACATAGAGACAGAGACAGCACGGAACACAGAGACAGAGATGGTCCAGAACATAGAGACAGAGACAGCCCAGAACACAGAGACACATAAAGTCCAGAACATAGAGACAGAGACGGCCCAGAACACAAAGACAGAGATAGTCCAGAGCACACAGAAACGGAGATAGCCTAGAGCACACTGAGACGGAGGTAGCCCAGAACTCAGAGAAAGAGTGCAGGAACCCACTATTCAGCAGCAGGCCGGTGCTGCATCACGTGGCGCCACTTCGGTCTCGAAAAAAAAAACAAAGTAAAAAGTACGTAACCCTGGAACAAGTAACGCCTCCTATCGCTTGAACTTTGAGCAACATTTCTCAGAAGAGCACGAGTTTAGCCGTCACGTTCATTCCTGGTGCTGAGGGAAAGAGCCGCCACCACTTCCAACAGTCCAGCCGGCTCAACAGTCAGCGCTCGCTTTCCACTGCCAATATTCCACTGTCCCACCCACCAACTGCCAATCGCGTGATTGCTTCGTCAATACCATTTCTGAGTCATGCGAACTCTGGCAGCGTTAGCAAGGGCCCTAAAAGGAAGCCAAATATCTTACGTCATTTCATTATCAGAGCAGTCACATCATCTATGCCAGATGGCGGCCCACTTCTAGCAGTGGGATTTGGTGCGCACTCCGCACCATATCGCCCAACAGTCGAGGCACTGAGCCAGCTGCGAGTCTCCGAGTCGGCCCTGCGATCCGCGATAGCTGTGGTCGGTCCCAGCAAGGCCTGCGGGACTGACATTATCGGTGCCCACATATTCATCGAGTGCGCGGACGAGTCAGGTACTCCGCTCACCCACCAATATTTGAAACCTCTCGATGAGTTCCGGTGTCTTCCCGGGGAGGTGGAAGCAGGACATCACACCAATTTTAATGAAGGCGACGAAAAGGAGCAGTCAAACCAGCAAAGTATATCCTTGCTTCAACTCTTTGAAAAGATACTGGAACGGGCTGCGTCTGATGAGCTGCTTCGCCACGCCTGACCTGTATTGTGCCATCATCAGCATGGTTTTTTTTCCTTAGGCGTTTGTGCAGCACTAACTCGTGCGTTTAGAGATCAGTTTAACGGGCCATGTCGGACGGACACCAAACAGATGTCACGTACACTGATTACTTGGATGCTTTTCAGAGCGTTAACCATGAGGTCCTGATCCACAAGTTAAAGCAATCATACCACTTGAGTGCACTGCCATGGTTTGCCTCGCATCTGTCCGACAGAGATCAGAAGATTACCGTCAACGAAAAATCTTCCGACTGGAACCTGGCGACCTCCGGCGTCCCGGAAGGATCACTCTTGGCTACCCTCCCTTTTCATAGTTTATTAAAAATCTTCCGTGCGTCATTGAATCCGGTTGTTTTTTGCATGCCGATGGCGTAAAAACTGTCCGCAAAATTACGTCCCCATCTGATGGACTGCAGCTGCAGAATGATCTCGATCATCTGGTAGCGTGGTCGGTCGGGTGGGGGCTGACCCTCAGTCCTACACAATGTAAAATATTCACGAGGACAGTTAGGCGTGCTTCCGTTCAGACCAAGATTTCTGTCAATAGAGCTGAGTTTAAACATGCGTGGCGCCATCAGGGACCTTAGCGTGACGTCGGATACCACACAAACCTTCACTGCACATGTCTCTAACACGGTCGCAGGGGCTGTCGAGCACTTGGCCTTCTTATTAGGTCCTTCCAGGTCGGTACCAACTGGTCAGAATTTAACTGAAGTGCAGTGATGGCTACGTATTTTGCAAACGTGCGATTGGTTTACGAATATTGCAGCATGGTCTGGACGGGGGCGGCTAATGCCCGCACAGTGTGCGTAGATCGACAAATTTAACCGCGCAAATAATAAACCGCACAAACTTCTTCTTTGGTTGATTACTCACATTTTCTCTGGGTCAACAGCTTCTCTTTCTTATGATATCATTCCGCTTCATTTCCAAAATCCCATCCCTAGCAGCACGAACAGTACAGTACGAATTTCTCTTTCTGAGAAACATCTTCCAAAGTAAGCTGGACCCTCCGTCTTGCTAAGCTACTTCCCCTTGCTTGCGCCGCCTCGATCGACTCGCGCGCCAACTCTGCCCGCCGTGCCTCGCGCTCGCGTGCGAGCCGTACAGAACGGTCTGTTTTGCAGACTGCCAAGCGTTGGGAACACTCTCGGCGAGCAACACTAGCGCGAATAGTTTTCGTGACAGTTTTTACATTTTTAGAGTTAAAGTGATCGGGCTGCTTGAACTCTGCAGCATTTTTACTCAGCTCTGAGATGTCATCCTCAAAAATTATGCTCATACTACTGTGTATCGGTATTTATTGTGTTTTAATTACACGAATTCACCTGTTCGTGGAGTGCCGCTTCGTTGGCGATGAAATAAATAAACATATAAATAAATAAACTCACGTTACACCAGCAAAACATAACTAGCTATTAGCTCGGGGCCATAAATCCTCCGACAGCCATTACGCCGAAAAGCGTCGCCTTCCAACTGCCTCTGTTATTACCATCCACAGTGCATGTGCTAATAGTTATGACAATGTGCAACATGCCGGGCCAGCTGACCGTACACCTGCGGTACAGCCGGGCCTGCGCTACAGCGCTACGGCCTGCGGTGCACGAGCCGGGCCCGCGGTACAGCGCTCCGGACTGTAGTACACGAGCCGGGCCTGCGGTACGCGAGCCGGGCCTGCGCTACAGCGCTCCGGCCTGCGGTACGCGAGCCCGGCCTGCGGTACAGGAGCCTGCCCGAGGGCCGTGAGGCCGGCCCCGTCCACTGCGTGGTGGTCCGGGGCGAGACGGGTCGGTGGGGCCCGCCGACATCAGCCGATCTGGACCGGCCGCCGCCGCCGTACTTGTGACGACCAATCAGCCCCAACCAGCTGAGTGCCAGGGAAAAAACGCGGCGCAAGCGCACCACGTCCTCCCAGTACCAACGCAACCGGGTAAGTCGCAACAAAACGAGCGTCAAAGTGACGCCAATAAACCGGTTCGGCGACGTGCGAGGACATCAGGATCTTGCTTCCATAGCTTCCGCTTGACTGAGTTCATTGAGCCCGTTTCGGCACGGCAACATTTTAAATTTTAGTGGAAGAGCACCCAATGTGTGATCCACTCCAGAAGCCGGACGGCCGTACTTTAGGACGGCTCACGACTGTACTAGTCAGCATACACTTAAAACCTGTTTTTAATGGCATTTCGAAGTAACAGGGCCTTCGTGGAAGTGGTACAATAAAGGCCATCAGCACCACCGTTGCCTCAGCAGTGTGAACAAAGACAAAAGGAAGCGACATATCAGCAGGATGAATCGCACGTTGTAACACGACACTTTTAGAGTAGGCGGTGTCAACGGGAAATAAACTCACAATTTTACATAAAAGCCACGAACACGAACAGGGATTCCCACATCCGGCCGTCACTCACGACACGAAATTACCGGGTACTAGTGCGTACCGACAGGACACTCCAAGCAACAAAGCGATATCCGGTAAGCAGCAGGCCCGTGTTTACTTGTAAAAAGTACACGCAACACAACGATAACTAGCGTATCTACAAAATCCAGCTGGTCAGCCGTACTCCTACAACATCGTGACCGCCGTATCCCACCCTACCACCACCCCGCTGCCGACACAACAGCGCCACCACCCCGTCCCACCTCCGCCGTCCCACGCGTCCGTACCGTGTTCAGGTAGACCGCCTTGCCGTCGACGACGCGCCGCCGCGTCTCGCAGTCGTCGAGCGGCTGGCTGATGACCAGGTGGGACGAGTTGCGGAACGAGCGGCAGGTGGGGTCGGCCAGCCGGAGGGCGCGCACGCGCCGCTCGTCGGCCCGCTCGGCCGGCACGGCCACCACGAGCCGGCCCAGCTCGCAGGTGACGGAGAGCGCGCGACGCAGCACGCCTGACGCGGCGCCCGCGCGCCAGCCTGCCGGAGCGCCGACACGCGGGTCATCGCTGCTCCTGAACGGTCAGAAGTGCTGGCACGGCACAACCAGACAAACCAATGCCCCAATGGATCAACCTGCTCATCCGCAGCGATCGCAAACTTTCTCCGGGCCTTCAGGGCGCGCGGAACGGTCACCCATCGTCGCCAATGTCCCCACCGTCCCATCAGAGGGCAGCGTGCGCGCTGTTTATAGCGCAGCCCGCTCGGCTCGCGTCCGGCCGGTCAGTGGCGACGTCACGCCGTGTGCGACGTCACAGCGCAGCTCGCTCGGCCGTGACCGCCCGGCACCACGCACCGCCACGTACGGCGAAGGCGGTGGCGATGGCGGCGGCGGCGACAGCAGCGCATCTACCCCGGGACGTTAAACGCCTTCTGGCTGACTAGATGCCTCTACAAACCCTCTGCAACTATATATACATACACACACATATTCACACACACACACACACATATATATATATATATATATATATATATATATATATATATATATATATATATAACCGTTCTATCTCCCGTCACGTCCCCCCGCGCTCTCACACCCTCACAGGAAGTCGTCAGTCAAGTGTCAACGTGGCGATAGCCGCCGCTCTCCGTGGCGATCACTTGGGCGACGACGGACGCTAGAGCGTGCAGGCGCCCTGCAAAGGCGCTTATCGTGAGTGATTTTTACTCCTGCCCTTGATACCATCTTAATCCCCCGGCTCCTGAACGGTCAATGACGACATGGCCAACGTCATAGCCATATATGACTCCGCCAATGCCAACTGTCGCAAGCGCCATACTCCCCACGTCGTCCGTACGACACGACAGGTTCCGAGACCACCGAGGCTTTGCGAGTGCCAAGGCCCACGCGCGTCCGTTTCCATGGCGACAACCGCCACGTCACGCCGGCGTTCGCGGCCAAAACATCCGCCGTACCCGTATCAATACACAGCCGGCTCAGCCTCGGAACACGGCCGCGTGCTGCAGGGCCGGTGCGCACTCGCAGCGCCGGTCCGATCCGTGCTACGCGCGCCCCGCTCCCTCCCGACACCTCTTGACGACCGGCCGGCGGCCGAGGGGCGCGGCGTGTAGCGGCGTTCGCCCGCGCGAGCCGTGTGAAACGCCGCCCGCCTCTCCTGCGCGCGCGCGGCCTGGTCGTTAACTGCGCCGCCGGCCGAGCGCGCCGGCGCGCCGCGTGCTACAGCTGGCCGGTCAGCGGCGCCTGCCTCCCTCCCTTCATCCTCCTGCAGCGGGCCGCGCCCGCGCCGATCGTATCTATGAGACGTGTGCCGTTTGGGCTCCCAGGGGACCCGGCCGAGTGCACGGAGCGCTGTTCCAGCAGGACGTGAGCGCCATTTGCCCTGCAGGCCGCATGCAGGCAGACGCAGTACGCACCGGTTGCCTCTGGCCGTCGCATGTCCCGCTTGCTGCCTGGTGAGCTCTTTTTGGACGCCCTCCGGGTACCTTTTGAGGTTCGTGCCTGGTCCATGAAACCACCTGAAATTACACGGAGGTATGAATTGAATGCGCACCGACCGGTATTTCATATTTGGTCTTGGCTCTTGAGGAGAGAGAACAAAAATATCTACGAAGTGAAACAAAAAGATGCATTTGCGCTGTGTACACCGCTGGTACCAAAGGGCATTTCTTTAGCAGTACTTGGCAGTAAATACCATGAGCTAGCTGGCCTCAGTGATTGCCAAAACCATTGAAGACTGGCAGCTTGTGATTCTGAAAGTTTCGAACTTCCCAAGTGAGTGCTCGCTTTGTAAACGCATGCTCACACCTGTTGCGCCATTTAAGGCTATTGAGCTGGCAGAAAGCTGTTTATATTGACAGTTTTATTCCAAAGGTGTCAGCCTCTATCAACGGTATTACAAACAATGCTTACAATACTGTGCACCCGTCGCATAATCACCCAGGGCGCATCACAACAAATTTATGGTTGAAATGTCATGCAAGCCACTTTATTATGGCCAAGAACGTCTGGCACATATCAGTTATAGCACCTACCTACCAGCCAAGATGAATCTTTCTCGCCTCATATGCAAGGGTAATGTGACACCCACCTAGCCTTGCACCGACCACGATATATTTGATTTGGGACCAGAGGTGTAGTTTGCTTGTCAGTAGATGGGACTCTACGCCCACCACCCACCCAACTTTGAGAAGAAATTTGATCAAATTCAGGGAGAAAACATAGTCTGTACTATGCAGCTGAGGTTTACCAATTTTCTGTGCCCACCCCTCTCAAAACTTCTGTACAAAACTGCCCCATCAGGGACGCCCGACCGCTGTGCGATCGCTGCCCGAAGGCCAATGCAGCAGGGGTAGAGGGGGTTAGTTTATTTCCTCCCTATAGAGCAAACTAGCCCTGCATAGTTAGCATCCACTACACCTACTCACCGACGGTAAGGACTACATCACACACGTGGCGGGCTCAAATGTGGGTCAGCAGTCACATTAGTGCCCCTGACTCCCCGCTCGCAAAGCCGCTACTCCACATCCACCCAGCGCCGCTTCGACATACTGACGCCATAAAAGCCCGGCTACCTCTCTGCACAAGCAGCCTTCCCCGCCGAAACCAACGCGATCCCAACCAGCGTCTACGGCGCCCTGAACGTGTGCCCCGTCCTGTCTCGTCCCGCTCCGGCAGCGCCCGTGCCCGTGCCTCGTCGAGCCGGGCGGCACGGCACGGCGCTGTTGCCAGCAGCGACCGACGCGTCCATTCAGCGGCGAGCCGGGCGGCCGGCGCGCTGCAGTCGACCTGCCGTGGAATGTGAACGCCGCCGGCCGTCGCCAGCTTCCTGGACGGGCTGCATTCCAGGATCCGCCCGGCAGCTAGACCGGAGCCGGCGGCCGGGCCGGCGCCGCGCTGGGGCGCGCGACACACGCGGCCCCGGCGCGGTCAGTCTGCCGGCCTGACGTGACCTGCCTGGTGACCCGGCTCGTCGTCCAGGCGGAGCCGACTGACTTTTGACCTCACACAGCCTCAGGTGACAGGCCTGGGACCTCACCCGTCTCTCACCTCCCCACTGACCTGAGACCTGACCCGTCTCTCCCCTCAGTGACATGAGACCTGACCCGTCTCCCTCCTCCCCACTGACCTGAGACCTGATCTATTTCCCCTCCCTAATGACCTGAGACCTGACCCGTCTCTCCTCCTCACTGACCTGAGACCTGACCCGTCTCCCCTCCCCACTAACCTGAGACCTGACCCGTCTCCCCTCCCCACTGACCTGGAACCTGACCCGTCTCTCCCCTCCCGCTGACCTGAAACCTGACTCGTCTCTCCCCTCCCCACTGACCTGAGACCTGACCCGTCTCCCCTCCCCACTGACCTAAAACCTGGCCTGTCTCTCCCCTCCCCACTGACCTGAGATCTGACCCGTTTCTCCCCTCCCACTGACCTGAGACCTGACCCATCTGCCATCCTCACTGACCTGACGCCGAGTGCAGCCCGATGTTGAGCCGATGGGCGGCCAGGGAGCGGATGTACGCCACCGGCGGCCCGCTCGAGTAGCCCACCGCGAAGATGACGAGGTCGTTGAACGAGTCCGGCAGGCGGGTCAACTTCACCTTCAGTGACACAGACTTGTCGAGGCTGTCGTTCACCACGGGAAACTCGGTCTGCGCGAGAGACGACGCGCTCAGCTCCCGCCGCCCGCGCGCCCGCCGCCGCTGCAGTATTGCATCATCCTGGGCCACCCACGCGGCAAGCACACGCACACACAGGGACGTACATGGCGGCGCCCGGTACCGCCATGCGCCGAGCCAGCTCGGACGCGTCGCATGCAGACGCAAACGCAGCGATAAGGGCCGATGGACACCTGCGCACGTTGGGACATACTGCGCAGGGCGCATTAGCGGTGTGCACGTCCGAGGCTGCGGGCGGCTGGGCGATGGTAGCCATCGGCGTCAGGCGGATCGACCCGACCAAACCGCACGGCCGTGTCGGCTGCGGCGTCGGCGGAGCGTCCGTCCACAGACGGTGGACACAGCTCAGATAGCGTCCGTGAAGCCTGTTAGCAAACGCAGCAGTGACCTCCCGACCGACTCCGGCGGCGACCAGTTCCGTTCGTCCGAGTCTGCGCACGACACTGTCCTCGTCACAGAGCAGGCGCGGCATCGGCGCAGGATTTCATCGTCAGGCCCGTAAGCCGGGGGTAACGTTCCCGCGGCAAACTCGGGGTCACTCGCCCCCAGCCTGCGCCGGCTCTGCGACTCCACAGGGCCCTGCGAGCTGAGCGTCTCGCCGGCCACTCGGTGGCGTCCGCTGTCGCCGCGGCCCAGCCTGCCCGCTACGGTGCAGAGCGGGCCGCGGCCGGGCCACTCGAGCGCTCTCGGTGCAGCTGCGGCCGGAGCCGGACGGCTGGATGCAGTGCACGGCTCCCACCGTCGCTAATCGCGGACCGGGCTGAGAGTGCCTGGCCGCTCGGCTCCTTTAAAGGGATGACGGCAGCCAGTCTAAGAGCTCAGAGCGCCGCCCCGCAATCAGCAATGGCCTGAATAGCGCTGGCGGTCGGGACAGCACAGACCGACCGGCGCAGCGCAGCGCAGCGCCCGAACACTGCGCCACAAACGTCGCCACGCCACGGAGCAAAGGTCGTTCCCCCGCCCCCCACCCCGGGAGTTCCCACCCTGAGAGTCTTCCCAAACGACGCGCCGACCGGCTGACGGGCTCAGGGGTGGCCGCCGCCCTGGAGGCGGCGCGCGGCCCACCCCCGGCGCCATCGGGCGCGGGCCGCTGGCCCCCGTCCGCCGGCCGCCGGCGACAGCCGCCGCCGCTCAGAATATCTGAAACATGACGCCAAATTTAGATTGGCCAGCACGTGGCGGCGGCCGCGTGCCATCCGCCCACCGTGCCTCTGTTTAGCCGGGGGGCGGACGGCGCCAGGCGGGGGCGCGGCCATTTCGGTCCCGACCGTGACATTCCGCCCCGGCCGGGGGCCACGGTGTGGCCCGGCGCTCGGTCACCACGCACGGCCTCGGGGCCTCGATGCCTCGGAGCCGCCCGCTGCCGGTCAGGCCGCGGCGGCGCGAGCGCACTCGGCCCCGGCTTGCCACCGCCCTGAGCCGGGGTCGACAGGGTGCACGTGGAGGGGTAGTACGGGTTGGCGTCACGTCGTCGGCAGCGTGAAGGAGAGTGTCACCCTGATGGAGTGAGCCGTGACTGCGCTCGACCCGTGGAGGAGCCGCGCTCCAGAACACCAGGGGATAGCGAACAAATCAGCTACACACAGCCAGCTACACAATCTGAGGCTAATTCTTCGGGCAGCGTTTTCACACCGTTTCTGAAGTTCAAATAGTAGTCCAGCATGCTAAGCGTTCATTGGATTACCAGGAGCATTGAGGCCCATGCCAGGACCTCCTCAGCTCCACAAACGAGGCAGACCATCTTCAGGCGGCTGGTGGTGACCATCATCAAACGCAGCCGCGCCGCCGGATTGGCGACACTGGCGTGCACGAATTTCAGAGGTCGTGGCAGCCGTCCTCAGCGATATGGCACGGATCAAGATATCTGGACGTAGATATCTCGGAACTAGGACGGAAACGTAAATCACAGAACAACCTTACTGAATTAGCGAGAAGATCAAGGCCGCGACGCTCCAGCCTCGGAGTAATTGAGCGACGCTCCCAATCAAGTCCAGCCTGCTTTCGGTCTCACCGCACCGAGCGCCGGCTGGCCGGGGCGAGCCGACAGTCGGCAGGAATCAAGGCACGACGCTAGCTTATCCGCTGAAGTCACCCAGCATATCACCCCGACTCCGATCTAGCGCCGCTCAAATGCTACCACCAAAAATGGGAAGGCATCCCAGCAGTGTTCCAAAGTTTTTTTCGAATCATCATTTCATCCAAATTGGTCCCGAACGTCTTGTATTGGTTCGCCACATCATGACTCCGTTCTATTCTGTCCGATCCGATGGCGTTTGATCCAGTCTGATCTGATCTGATCTGATCTGATCTAAACTTATCATCATGACCGGCGGCGCCCACAACAAAGCAACAAAACGCAGACTAACAAAACAGCCGAGACGGTGCTTTGGCTAGCGAGTGCACACGAAGACGGATGCTGTTAGACACAAACTCTAACGTGTTTGACGGTCTTGTGGCAGCCTCGAAAGCTAACCTTTGGCGCCAGTGCTCCAAGTGAGCTACGATCGAAGACAAATCTACGTCAACTACAACAGATGCTCTTCATCGATACTGGGATGTCATCCAGAATAGCACCAATCGCAGTGATTAGTTACCAGCGGTGGCATGACACGTTGCACGTACAACTCTGCGAGCATGCATACTTATAAATTGAGACCGCTTCTCCCATATCAACCGTATGTCAAGCAACGGCAAACCGCTCTGCTAGGGGCTACTCACCACCACCAAAATGTCGCCGGAGAACCTCTCGGTCATCAGCGACCAAGTGACCGGCATGGCCGCCTTCAGCAGCTGGAACGGGGGCGTGCTGACGTCAGAGTCGGTCGTGGTGACGTCAGCCGCTCGAGCTGACCTCGGTAACCGGGCGCGCGGCGGCCAGAGCGCGCGCGCGCACACACACACACACACACACACAGAGATGCACACGCGGCAGGCAGAAAGTTGATAAAAGGAGCCGCTGGCACCCAGTCCCGTGGAGATGTGTCGGTGGATATATATCGAGCTGCAACTGTTTTGAGACATGACGCCCGCTCAGCAGCCAAAACAAGAATGGACGCAAGACGTGCTGGTGGGCGTTGCGTGGAAGGCAGACGGCTGGTCCGATTCCTAGATAAAGATCCAGCTGCATACTCCGACTACGGTCCTCTAGGAAAGCCGGGACCGATGCCCAAAGAGGGGCGCGTGCAAGCGCTACAGATTCCTCAGGACTATTTGGCCAGGCGCCTGAGGTAAACCGGCCGCTTCTTCAGCCTATTTTTGTGGGTGAGTCACAATCTGCGCAACATGCCTCTCTGCGACGGACCACTGACCCACCACCACTCTCACCCGCATCGCTCAATACGTCTAAGCCCGAAAGCGCACAGCAACACGGCTTATTCGTATCGAGGCAGCTTGGGGCAAAAGACAGGCCGGACAAACGCGCGGCTGCGATAGGCTGCCGCTTTTACGAGGAAACCATTGATGGTAATTTGTCTTGGAATTACAAACTGAAATCCTCCAGTGTCAAAATACGGCTGGTGACTAGGCGTTCATTGCATTCTGGGGGCCAATTCTGCTTCTCTTTCCATTAGAGCCGTGCACAACTTGTTCTTGTCTATTTGCGGCCTTTGCTTCGCGAAATATGTCTAGATGACTCCAATTTAAAGCCAAATCAGCCGATGTCACTTGAAGCCACTACAAAAGCGGACACTTAATACATGCCTCGTAAGCCTAGCTCTCGCACCCCAACGAATCTTGTGACCTTCCGCGGCTGATAGCCTGAAACCCTGAGCCAATGCATCAAAGCCCTCAGGCTATTTCTATGCGGTGTGTCGCCGCCAGGTGGCTGATTATGAATAGTCGAAATGCAAGTCAAATATTTAATGCAAGCCTAATGAACAAACTCAAGTACAGAAATGGTTTGGGATTAGGCCACATACAACCGCGCGGGGTAAAACCAGCGCACGCAAAACCAGCTCCGGAATGATGAACACATTCTTCGATGCTATTTTCACCACAGACGCAGCGCCCGATACGACGTGAACTCGCTCCGGTGGGTCCCCGGCCAGGTACGCTCGTGATTACAAACACCGCCAGCTGCGCCCGTGCGCCCTCGGCGGACACGGAACCGGCGCAGTCACCGGGCACCGGCCAACTCGGACAGTGTCGTCGGCACCGACCCTCGGCCGTGCGGCATTCCAAGGAAAACATTGAAACTGACAACATTACACCCTTGAACTGTTCGAGATCGATGGTCATAACGCTGTTACCGCCGTGTACGTACCCCGAGGCGCGGTGGCGGCATGCCATTCAGATCTGTGCTCCGCTGTCCTCGGTTAACAAACGCGCCGCGTGCAATGGCTCGTTTGTCCCACCCGTTCGGCACGTGTTTCATGGCACAATACGACCAACGGCCGCAATTCGGCCTTAAACGGCGCGAGGCCTTACTGCGACGCAGCATTCGCACGCGTGGTCAGCGAATGTTCAACGGCATAACAGTCATAACAGAGTTGGCGTGAACGGCTACACCGGTTCGGGCCTTTGTTCCTGAGCGCCAGCCCGCCGGCAAGCACGCAAGACTTCCCGGAGCTTTCGCTGAGGGCGGCCGCTGGCGCCGCTGCAGCCTCAGCCCCGCCCCAGCGTGACTAGCGAGTCCGTGCGTGTGTGACCCCAGCGTCGATGCGTGCCGCACACACCGGCTGCGCGGGAGGCCGCGGCCCGGCAACACTCACCAGGGTGACGTTACCCGACTGCCGCTCCCTGAAACAGAAACTGACGATCAGTCTGCGGGTCCTGACCCGCCCGCCGACACAGCACCGGCACAGGCGACCAGCACAGACGACCGGCACAGACGACCGGCACAGGCGACCGACACAGACGACCGGCACAGACGACCGGCACAGGCGACCAGCACAGACGACCGGCGTAGACGACCGGCACAGGCGACCAGCACAGACGACCGGCACAGACGACCGGCACAGACAACCGGCACAGATAACCGGCACAGATAACCGGCACAGGCGACCCGCACAGACGACCGGCACAGACGACCGGCACAGACAACTGGCACAGACAACCAGCGCAGACAACCGGCACAGGCGACCAGTGCAGACGACCGGCACCGGCGACCACCAGCACAGCCGACCGACACAGACAGCCAGCACAGACGACCAGCACAGACGACTGGCACAGACGACCAGCACAGGCGCCTGGGGCACAGAAGACGTCAAAAGCATGGGGGAGTGCACGTCTTCAGCCAGTTATGTCATGCACCATAACATGGTTTTACGTTTCACTTCCACAAGCTGGGGGTGGGGGAGGGGCAACAGCAACCCTGGTCGCCTGTTTCCCATGTCCCTGCCAGCACCTGACTGACCAGCCCTGCAGGCCTGTAGGGTAGCCGCGCGCCCCTCGCCCTCCCCCTCTGCCATGGCCGGGGATCACCAACCTCGCCGCACACAAGGACCCACCCGCCAGCGTGCCGCCCCGCCTACAGCCGACGACGTCACACGGCCGTGCTATCAGAGCCGTTGGTAGCTCAGTACCGGAGATCAGAGCTCCGCGGCTCCCGCGAGCCGCGCCGGCGCAGCACGCGCTGCCCGCTGAACAGGCGCCGCGCGCTGCCGCCTCCGTTGCCGCCCCCCGAGCTGACGGCGGGGACAGAGCCTGATCCCGGAAGGACACGGTAGAGGCGAAACCGTGTAAGGAGGGTAGAATCGTCCGGCGATGTTAGCGCACCATCCGCCCAACGTTTGCGTGACGTCACTGGATCATTCTCTCAGCAGGTGCTGCACACGGCCCTGCGCGTTGCGAAAAAATCCGCACGGAACACCTGCTCGCCTGTTGGTTTGTCATCTCAGCTACGCCGCCGTCAACTTTGGAGTGAATGGTCGCTCTCTCTGGGATTTATCCCGGCGATGTTGACAGATGTTATCTTATCAAAAAGTGGCCTCGGTGTGGCTTCATAACAAACTTGACCTACACTGCAGGCCCGCGGCCCGCCCCTCCGCTTTTGGTCCGGAACAGTGAGAACGGAAGCCGCTGCGGCTCGCTTCTCCTCAGCCCTAGACTTCCAACACGAAGTTCTCAAACAGCTCTAAGCCGACGCCAGGGACTCGGCTACAGTCGGCACACCTCATGCCAGGCACCCCAAGCGGCGACATCCAAAACGACGACGCAGCATTCTGTGGGAGAGCAGGCAGCTGAGCCCACTGGCTGACCAAAAACCGCTCCGTCGAGCTCGCCAGCACCGGACAACTTCCGCTCGCGCCGTCGCACCCGCCGCGGCCGTCGCACCAGCCGCGGCCGGCGCACCAGCCGCGGCCGTCGCACCAGCTGCGGCTGTCGCACCAGCCGCGGCCGGCGCACCAGCCGCGGCCGGCGCACCAGCCGCGGCCGTCGCGGCTCCCAGTCCCGTCGCCGAGGCGCCAAACATCGCCGCCAGCGCAGCAGCCCCGCCGCTAGCGAATGAATCGACGCCGGCGAGCCAGGCCAAGCCGGCCGCTCGCCAGTCCAAGCTCGCGCGAAGCCAACCTCCGCCGCCAGGAATCACATACGCCGTCATGTCACAGCTCCGTGGCATACCTCACTGGCGAGAAATTACAAACGCTGAGAGAAGCATTACAGCATTGCTACACGCTTCATTCAACATCTGAAACACTTAACGACGTGTGCTGCGCCGTGTGCGGCATTTCCGTCGCGGTGTGGCGACGGAGCCGGCGGCGCGGTAGCGGCGGAGCCGAAAGGCCCCAGTGACGTCATCACCCTGTACTGAGCCGCTCGGCACCTCGCCAACAGAAAATCGCGTGACGCCATCCTGCTGGGTACACGGCCCTCCCCACCGCCGGCACGGCCCAGCACCGTCGGCTCCGGTAGCTCTTGTCGTCGGCGCCGCCGCCGCCGTGAGTGCGAGTCGACCTTGAGCGCCAGCTGATCGGCCGATAGGGGGCGGCAGGCGCGAGCGAGCCGCGTCGCCGACTGTCGCCGGCCGCGCCATGCCAGAGGTGCATTAGCGGGCAGAAAGGCGGCCGCCAGCCGTCCGGCAGCGATAAGCTGGCGCTGAAGAGTGCTGAAACGGGCGGGTGACGCAGCACCCGGCAGCAGCGGGCTCGCCGGGCCTGGACGGCGGGGCGGGGCGCGCGCTCCGCGCAGCACGCCGTCGCAGCCCGGGCGTAGGCGGCCTGCTGCCTCTGCGGCGGCGCGTGCCGCGGTCTGCGTGCCGCGGTCCGGAGCGCGGCGCGATGTCGCCTGGGCCAGCCCCGGGCTGAGCGGCGCCCAGCCGCGCCTGTCACCATCGCGACGCCAACACGAGCGCGTCGCGCCGCTGGCCCCCACAACCAGCGGTCGGCGTCCGGGCGCACAGGCGAATCCGCTGGGGCGGGTGACGTCACAGCGAGCCAGGACTTAAGCCGATCACGCAGTCCGCCCGTCACGCCATGATGTCACGTCACGCCATCGCAGTTTTGCTGACACGTCTGAGCTACGCATCGCTAGCACGCCAAATTTCCCGGCGCATTGCATCAAAACAACCCCGATGCACCTCTCGCTCCAACCGAATCGCGGTGCAAAATACCATCACACACGGCCTGCACGTGCAGCTGCATCTTGGCCGTGATCTGATAAGAACGTGGTGGATTTTTACACCACACCAAAGCTGCCCCGGTGGTAAATATTAGTCACGAGGAGATCAAACGATTTTGCACACTACATATGATAAATGAGCGAGGCGTCACGACAAATCAAGCATTCCTCCCCAAAAAGTTAGTATGCTGGGTACCCCACGCGCCCTTAACAAAGAAACAATATACGAATCGCACAACCGAATGATCTTCACCTTCAAAAGCACCATACCGGATCCAACACAGCATATGCCGACACGACAGACTCACTTTCAAGGCTAAACCAGGCACGCGTTCGTCCCAGAAATTTTCCAGAAGCCAGAATGACAGCGGCTGAGTGACGCCGCCGCAGGACAAAGATCGCCCAATATCATCCAAAGATGGAACATCCCTGGGAACAGCGAGTCTGATCGCGCTTCTTTCCATTCAGCGGGTCGGTCGGCGGTGACGGAACACGTCGTGCCCATGGCAATCGCCGCTTTTCAAGCAGAGCTTCCTTCCCTTCTCGCCTCACGCCTGCAGTTCTTAACACTAACCCGTTCGAAGCCCAGTGCAAACCACTGACGGCGTCACATAAAATTGCAGATGCATCGCATCGCATTGCAAAGCATCGCATAACTCCAAGAATGGACGCTGGCCCTGGGTCGGAATCTGAGTTCTGAACGCTTTAATTTCAAGTGGTATGAAGCGTATCTATCCAACAACTTTCTGGTCGTGCTCCAATTGGTATTCACACACGTGGCTATGGTCCCCCTTTCGCAGCGTTCTTTGAGTGCCTTGGCGTGAGGACACGTTCGAAAACAAGGCGAGTAAACGTGATGCTATTGAGAGTCGACCGCCTTGTCTTCTTGGCAGCCGTTATCACGTCGCGTGCTGCATACTGCGCTCGCTTCAAGGCCCTGCTAGTCGAGAGATGACGCGGCGCTAAAGACCTTAGCAGCTGGACGCGACGATACATAATTCAGCAGTCTTTCCATCCATTCCCAGGGCGGCGGGGAGGGAAGACGGGGGGGGGGGGGGGGGGGGCAATGACTGAGCCTGGACGACCGCTAGTGTCTGAAAACGGCCCCGGCACTCGGTGTCCGAATGTGTCCGAACACAACGGACACGCTGTTTCCGAACGCGACTCACTTTGTGCCCGAACGCGACCTACGCTGTACCCAAACACGGCCCACCCGGTGTCTGAACACGACCCACCTGGTGTCCGACGGCGACAGGCGGATCGTGACGTCGCTGTCACTGAAGGTGCGGTCCGTCTCGGCCACCTCGATGACGTACACGTCCCTGCAACAGGTGGGGGTCGCCGTCAGCCGTCAGCGGCACCCGCCCCGGCGGCCGCGGCGCACCAGCCGTGTCCGCGTCAGGGCGCACAGGTCAACACGCAGCGCACCGACCACCGCTGAGGCCGAGCTGTCGGGCCCCGTGGAGACAGACAAACGGCGAGACAAGACTGCAGCCGCCGGCCGAATGTAGACCCCATCGGAGCAGCTTTCCGTAATAAATAATCAATCAAATGAAAGTGACACACGGGCCGCAGGAGATGAGGAAGCCTTCTCAGAACTCAGCGAAGGAGCGGCGGGTTGGGGCTCCCTTTTAACCGTGTTGACGGACCAGGACCAGGACAAGGCCTTTGCCGTGACTACGAGTCGTGACTCCAGCCAGCGAGCCTGACTCCTGCTCCTATCAGCAGACACATCCGTCCGACACGACAACACTGGAGCAGCCCCTCACAGCGCGAGGACACCGGCAATAGAGCCTTCCCCTTCCATTGAAGTGGGCACGGAGATAGAATACACCCTTTCAGAGCGACTAAACAGACGGTTTGTCTAGCCAGGAGCCGAAAGCACGTGCCATGTCACACAGACTGCTGCTCAGGATATCCTGCGAATCTCACAGCACAGCAAGTTTTGCCCGAGGAGGCTGGAAAGTTCCACTGCGCTTCTGATAACATGGCCGATGAGGATGACGCTCGGGGATGGCCGTGCCCGCCCGCGCGGCAGTAACGGCCACATCAACGCATTTCCCACCGATTCCGTTATGTTAATGATATATCTCAGCCATCAAGTGACACTCCTACAGCCGTAAGTGCCCTACAGTCAACAACAATTCACGCTTAATAGATTTTACGCCTTTTGACAGATTCCCAGCGTCGCCACCCGCCAGGCGCGTTCAAAAGCGTACGCTGCCACCGCCTGAACTTCAGCACTGAGTGGTCCGGGCAATTACCCTAATGACAATTCCATTTGCCCTTTTACGTCCGGCGCGCCCATTTGTCGGCAGTGTCCAGCGGCCGTCGCGTCGCCTCCCGTCGCAGTGGCTGGCCCGGGCTGACTCACCCCACCATCGTCCGGCAACGCTGCCGGCCGACGGCTGATTCCGGGCCCGGTAACGCTGCCGACGGACGGCGGATTCCGGGCCCGGCTCCTGCGCCGGCGCCGGCGCCGGTGCGGACGCGTCAGCTGCGTAGCCGTGCGCTAAAGGTTGCCGGGCTCCAACGCACTTCGATGTCTTTAAGGTGAGCAAAACGCAAAAAGCCGTTCTGTCCGACGCTTCAAGCGGTGTAGACCCCGAGGAGCCCAGCAGTGGCCGTGCCCCTGTTGAGGGTCGGGTGGCGCCGCCGAGGGTCACGGCCGTCCGGGGGGGGGGGGGGGGGGTCAGCCGGACGCGACGAGTGCGCCCGCGCCTGGCTTCCGTCGCCGCGACAGGGGCGCCGTCGGACGCCGCCGAATCGGCAGCGGGACGGTCCAGCCTGCAGAGGCGCACCGGTCCCCGCCGGCCGCCCCAGAGCGAGGCTGGCGCGTGAGCGGCGCGTCAGGTGGCGGCGAGCTGCAGAAGCGCGCCGCGCGCTGCGACGCTCGCCGGTCTCAGCCGGCCGCCCCGGAGCGAGGCTGGCGCGTGAGGTGGCGGCGAGCTGCAGAGGCGCGCCGCGCGATGCGACGCTCACCGATCCCAGCCGGCCACCCCGGGGCGAGGCTGGCGCGTGAGCACCGCGTCAGGTGGCGGCGAGCTGCAGAGGCGCGCCGCGCGATGCGACGCTCGCCGGTCCCAGCCGGCCGCCCCGGGGCGAGGCTGGCGCGTGAGCAGCGCGTCAGGTGGCGGCGAGCTGCAGAGGCGCGCCGCGCGATGCGACGCTCGCCGGCGCGTGAGCGGCGCGTCAGGTGGCGGCGATCATGGGCTGGGGGACGACGACCGGGAGCAGGAGCAGACGCGACTTTACAGGCCAGCCTAATCCGGAGGTCATCGTTCTCCGGCGGCCATTCACCGCATTGGTGCATGAGACTACTGCACACTTGTGAACAAGCAAGGAGAAATGTCCGGGAACACTACGAGGAAAGACCAAGGACAACAGCAAATCAAAGAGGAAAGGGGACGAAGCGACCTAGATGGGAAGCACAAAGAGGTGTGGCGTATATTGCACACATCCGTCTAGTACCCACGGTAAACAGCTTGATCATCCTACTCACCAACCATCTCAAACTGCATGCCGAGCAGCAAAGGAGTCATTTGCATCCCGAATCAACTTGGCAATGTATAACAAGGCTCGCCGGCCCACCACCATTCAACGGCTTGAAAATGGCATGATCAAGTGAGCCGCCGAAGCTCAAGGAGCAAGCGTTGATCGATCTGACCCCAAAACATCGAGCTTATCAAAGCCGTGGCCTTCACAAGTTACAAGCTAAAACGTCGCTGCCATGTCCTCCGATTTCTTATCACAAACAATATCGCATTCGGTTGTGAAGCTTGGATGTCCATGAGCTCATCCGATATTCGTAAGTGCAGTACTGACATAGCGGAACTGGGGACCGCGCAGACAGCGGGGCCAAAATGAAACGCGTCACCTGACCAGCACAGTAGGACATGTCAATCGTGTTGGACATTGGTATGAAGTCCTACCCCTGGTCCATGGCATTAGACTTGCCAAATAACCGCCAGATATAACCATTGTAAGTATTAAGGGCATTGTCCAAAAGCAGCTCCTGGCCATACTAAACATTCCGCTGCCCATTTACAACACTGCCAAAAATAGGCTATATGGTTTCGGAGCTCAGCGAAACGATCACACCGGTAATGGGCCAGGACAGTCAAGCTACACTGTGTGATGATGGCGGCGCCGTAAACGTCACGGAGACGGAGACAGATGACAGCGCCGGCAGTGAGCCGAAGCAAGTACGCGATGCTCCTGCCCAGGGGGCCGGACCTGCCCGGAACAGCCGGACCTACCAGAGGCAGCCGGACCTACCCGAGGCAGCCGGACCAGCCCAGGGAAGCCGGACCTTCCCGGGCAGCCGGACCTGCCCGGAACAGCCGGACCTACCCGAGGCAGCCGGACCTGTCCAGGGAAGCCGGACCTTCCCGGGCAGCCGGACCTGCCCGGAACAGCCGGACCTACCCGAGGCAGCCGGAGCAGCCCAGGGGGCCGGACCTGCCCGGAGCAGCCGGACCTACCAGAGGCAGACGGACCTACCCGAGGCAGCCGGACCTGCCCGGAGCAGCCGGACCTACCCGAGGCAGCCGGAGCAGCCCAGGGAGCCGGACCTGCCCGGAGCAGCCGGACCTACCCGAGGCAGCCGGACCAGCCCAGGGAGCCGGACCTGCCCGGAGCAGCCGGACCTACCCGAGGCAGCCGGAGCAGCCCAGGGAGCCGGACCTGCCCGGAGCAGCCGGACCTACCCGAGGCAGCCGGACCAGCCCAGGGAGCCGGACCTGCCCGGAGCAGCCGGACCTACCCGAGGCAGCCGGACCTACCCGAGGCAGCCGGACCTGTCCAGGGAAGCCGGACCTTCCCGGGCAGCCGGACCTGTCCAGGGAAGCCGGGCCTGCCCGGGGAAGCCGGACCTGTCCAGGGAAGCCGGGCCTGCCCCGGGAAGCCGGGCTTGCCCGGCGAAGCAGGACCTGCCCGGGGCAGACGGACCTGTCTAGGAAGCCGGACCTGCCCCAGGAAGCCGGACCTGCCTTGGCGAGTGCCGCCACCTGCCCGGGCAGACGGACCTGTCAAGGAAGCCGGACCTGCCCCGGGAAGCCGGACCTGCCTTGGCGAGTGCCGCCACCTGCCGGTGGGCGCGGCTAATCTACGCCCATCGACTGTCGACGCCATCCCACCACGCAGAGACTCGAGTTAGTGGCCGCCTGTCAGCGCCGTACCCGGTGACCCCTGCAGGAGCCGTGACCGGCGCCGAGGCCGGCTAGTGACCGACGCTCTCCCCACCCCGGCCGGCCTGTCAGCCCCGTACCCGGGACCTCTGCGGTAGTCGTAACCGGCGCCGAGGCCGGCTGGTGACCGGTGCTCACCCGACCCCGGCCGGCCTGTCAACGCCGTACCCGGTGACCCCTGCGAGAGCCGTGACCGGCGCCGAGGCCGGCTGGCGACCGGTGCTCACCCGACCCCGGCCGGCCTGTCAACGCCGCACGTGAGCAGCAGCCGGTGGCGTGCGCTCCGCCGGCTCCAGCAGACAGGCGGCACTGCACGGTAGCCGCGCCGCTCCTCTCCCAAATGAGCGCCGAAAGGTCACCGAACACCGGCAGGCAAGTGACTGCCGAGTAGCGCGCCGGAGCGCGGCCCTGTCTCTCGGGCGGGCGTCATCCTCCGGCAAAGACCAGACCGCACAGAATGCGGCGCAGCTGGCCCCTGCCACGGACGGCCGGGCCCGCACGGCGGCCGCTGTCTGGAATTCCCCGGACGCACGAGCGGCTCTTCACGACAAAAAATGTGCCCGACGACGTAGCCTGGTCTGGATAAGAGGAAGCGGGGGCGTCGTACAAGCCCGGGACGGCTGGAGTCTGAGCCGGGCCGCACCCGACCAGAGCAGCGCTGCGTTGAGACAGACGACCGCGTGGGCGCCGCGGCACGCCGCGACGCTCCCCTTGCCGGCGCCGGCGCCGCGGCGTCATGACTCAGACCTCCCGGAACCATTCTGCGTTATCTGTCCCAGCACGCGAGGCCCACACGCAAGACGCCTTATGCGGCGGCGACGCTCGACAAACGGAGCCTCCGGCACGGCTCAACACGGCCGGCCGCCCTGGTGCCGGCCGCTGTCCAGTGCGTGGGCGGCCCGCCCACGGAGACTGGAACCCGTCAGCCTCGGTGGAGCGACGGAGGGGAGGGGAGGGGGCAGCGGGTGGGGTGGGGTGGGGTGGGGTGGGGGGGGAGGCACTCCAGCGTGTTTCTCGGCCAGCTTTCCATGGGCCGTTCGCAGTCACCCTGAGCTCCTTTCCGGCCTGGTGGGTCAATGCAACGGGCCCATTCCATCCCCACAGTGGAGAAGAGCTGCAAGTAGCAGCACACC